TCATATTAAGGCCTCATTTACATAGGATGAATGAACGACCCTGGAAGCAGACAGGTTGCTCACAGTAGGGCAGATCATCCATCCTTGTAGAGATGTAAATGCTCGGATGTGAATACGGCCGTGGCATCTGTGTGTAGGCGGGGTTCACTCTCGGGGTGTTGCGTGTGAGTTCCCTTTGGGTTGGCTCTGTGTAACCCGTGTATGCAACACGACACCAGGCACCCCACGGTCAGGGGCCTCGGCTCTGGCCTCGTGCAAACAACTCCCACACGTGTAGTACTGCGCACACAGGGCCTCATGGCTTTCACCGCCTCTGCGGTATTCGGCGCTTCCTCCCCCTTAAGGAGAAAGGCCAAAATGAAAGGCACCCTATGTCGGGCATAGCCCGTTTGCACACCTACCCTCCTCAGTATGGTTACAGCCACGATACAGTCCAACATCACACTCCTGTAGAACCCCACCTTCTCAGAGGTTGGAGGGAGAAGAACCAGTCCACACAGATAGTCTTTTCTTGGTTTTACTTGAAAAGGATGAACATGACAATAAGCATACGTTTTAGCCACACCCGAGTGGGATGACGGGACATCTCTTGATAGTTGCATAGTGATACAGATTAGAGAGAGAGAAGAACAGCCCAGGTGCAGCCCAGAGTCCACGACTTACTTCGGCCATAGGCCCACTGGCAAATATTGTCAGTCTTACAGCTTCTCACTATTCTCCCATCCTTGTCAGTCCTAGCTCGGTGGTTTCCCCCTCCAGGGGAAACTGGGGAATCTCTATTGCTCTACATAGTCCTAGGCCTGGTCCTGTCCTTCCCATGGACCAGCCTATGTTTTAGAGTCAGTCTCTCTCCAGAGACTCTGCCTACAGTCTTAGACTTCTGCTCTCCTGTACTGTTCTTTCTTTCCCCTCTTGGGCACTCCCTATAAATCAGCTCTCCTGGGACACAGAGTCTCCCCAGGCCAGAGCTACATCTATCTCTAGGGCCCCATGGGGGCATCTAGTGGCCATTGGCCTACTGCATTGGCCTACTGCACCTACCTACATTTGAGCCTATCATTGATTTGTATAGGCTGCTGCCACAGTTGTACGCAACTACCTGTGACTCTCAAATGCAGAAATCATGTTCCTTTGTATGCTGTATGTCCCTGTGCGACCATGTGCATGAGGCCTAAAGGACTATAGAGAGGCTCTAGAGCTCAAAAATTCCATACTATGTACCTGTAGCTGCTAGATCTCTGGATGTATGGAGACAGTTCATGTTGATTCATGTTGATGAGTGCTTCATGCAATTGTCTTCATAAGGGAATTTTTTTCCATGCTAGAGTGTATTGGACAACTCTTTACTGTATAAGCATTATCTGCCAGAGGATGCAAGTTTTTTTGCCCTTTTGTTTGTGGCATGTAACTAGGGATACATATATCCTTAGCACTGCATCTCTGGTTTCTCTCCTCCCCGCTGGGTGCTGCTCGGTGTCCCCTCTGACAGACACAGTGCAGTGTCCAGGGGGAAGAGAGAAACTGTCACAGGAGGCCGAACGGTGCGGGGGAGGAGAGCGCTGTGAATAGCCAGCGTCTCTCCTTCCGCACCGCTCGGTCTCCTGTGACAGATTAGGAGAGTGGCGGTGTGGGGGCGGAGAAAGCTGTCATTGCTGTCACAGGAGGCTGAGCTCTCCTCCCCACACCGCTCGCTCAGCCTCCTGAGTGTTTGTAAATAATTGAGGACATAGTATGTTTACTGTGTCCCCAATTATGAATTAATGGGAAGTGATCTACATCAATTCCTATTCATTCATGATTGTGGACTTGGTAACTAATACTATCTCCACAAGTTATGAATGAACAGGTCACTCAGTATAGAGGATTCCTGTTCATTTATAAGTGCAGAAAAAGAGATTGAAGACTCTGTGTCCTCAATCTCTTTTTCTATTTTAAAAGGGAAATATCAGG